AAATGAACACTGATGTAAAAACACTCAATAAAATTTTAGCTATCAGAATCCAACAATGTACCATAAGATAATTCACTGTGACCAAGTATGTTTTTTCCAGCAACACAAGGATGGTTCCACATCTGAAAAATCAATCAATGTAATCTAACACATCAACAAAAAGATATATAAAAAACATGTGACAATATCAATAGATGCTGAGAAGGCTTTCAGCAAAGTACAACACTCATTTATGATAAAGACCCTTGAAATTCTCGGGATACAAGGAACATACCTCAACATCATAAAGGCCATATATGACAAGCCCATATCCAATATTATTTTTGATGGTTTAAAGCTAAAAGCATTTCCAATAAGATCTGAAACAAGACAAGGATATCTACTCTCACCACTGCTTTTCAATATAATACTGGAAGTCCTAGCCAGAGCAATAAGACAGGAGAAAAACATACAAGGAATCCAAATAGGCAAGGAAGAAGTCAAACAATCACTATTTGCAGATGATATGATAATACACATAGAGAACCCCAAATACTCCACAGAAAAACTAATTCAATTAATCAATCACTTTAGTAAAGTGGCAGGATACAAAATCAACACACAAAAATCAGTCGCCTTCCTATACACAAACAATTAAGCTGAAGAAGAAGAAATCAAGAAAATCATCCCTTTTATTATTGAAACAAAAAAATCAAATACTTGGGAATAAACCTAAAAAAGAGATAAAGGACCTATACAAAGAATAGTATAAAACACTGTTAAAAGAAATAGAAGAAGACCATGCTCATGGATTGGAAGAATTAACATTATCAAAATGGCCATCCTACCAAAAGCAATTCACAGTTTCCATACTATTCCAATAAAAATTTCAATGACAATCTTCAAAAAAATAGAACAAATATTGATGAAATTCATATGGAGCCACCAAAACCCCAAATAGCCATAGCTCTCTTGAAAAAAACGTATAAGGGAATGGAGGCATCACACTCTCAGATTTCAAACTATATTACAAAGCCATAATAATCAAAACTGCATTGTATTGGAACAAGGACAGACACACATGGTCAACTAATCTTTGACAAAGGAGCAAAGAATATGCAATGGAGCAAAGAAAGTTTGTTCAATAAATGGTGCAGGGAAAACTGGGTTGCTATATGCAAAAGAAAGAATCTTGACTACTACTTCACAGTGCACAAAAACCAACTCAAAATGGATTAAAGAACTAGACATAAGACCTGAAACTATAAAATATATGGAAGGAAATATAGGCAAAACACTACATGACATACACCTCAGCAACATATTTAAAAACTCCTTAAACAAAGCAGTGATAGCTAAGGCAGAGATAAACAGCTTGGATTACATCAAGTTAAAGAGATTCTGTACAGCAAAAGAGACAGTAACCAAACAAACATACATCCCACTGACTCTGAGAAAATTTTTGCACACAACACTAATGATAAAGGACTGATCACAAAAATCTACAAAGAGCAGATGAGACTCAACAAAAACAAAGTAAATAATCCAGTCAAAAAATGGGCAGAACAGCTAAAAAGGAACTTCTCTAAAGAGGAAATGCAAATGACCAACAGGCATATGAAAAAACGTTCAGTATCACCTGTAATCAGGGAAATGCAAATCAAAACTACAGTGAGATACCATCTTACACCAGTGAGAATGGCACACATTAAAAAAAAAAAACTAGCAATGATAAATGTTGGCTAGCATGTGGAGATAAAGGAACTCTCCTGCACTGCTGGTGGGAGTGCAAACTAGTCCAACAACTATGGATTGCTGTGTGGCGATTCCTTAACCTGCTAAAGATGTAGCTTTCATATTATCCAGCAATTCCACTCCTAGGTATTTACCCAAATGACACAGAAACAGTAATTCCACCCCTATGTTTATAGCAGCACTATTTATAATAGCTAAGCTTCGGAAACAACCCAAATATCCAAAAATAGATGACTGAATCAAGAATATGTGGAATATATACACAATGGAATATTACTCAGCAATCAAAGAAGATAAACTCATGCCATTTGCAGCAACATGGATGGAACTGGAAGGGATCATGCTCAGCAAAATAAGCCAGAAATAAAAATAAAAATAAAAATACCGGATGTTCTCACTCATAGCAGGAATTTGAAAACCTAAATAAGGGACCAGGAAAAAGACTAATTATAATAAAGAAAAATCAAAATCAACTAGCAACAAGCAACTATAAACCAGAGGCACACTACGGGGGGGGGGGTGGATAGGGGAGGAGAGATTAGGGTGAAAATAAGGGTGGTGGGAATTGTATGGGGAATATAACAAAAATGAAAATGCAATGTTGTATTATCTTCCTGGCAGAAACTAAGTGAAAGCCCATGATTGTTTCCCACTCCTACTAATAAATATAAGTGTAAATATTAACACTCAGAACTAGAGAGACAGTAGTGTGGTATAGTGACTAGAGCCAAGAAAACAAAAACAAATGAAAAAACAAAACAGCATTTCAACATTGGCTTGGTTGTTAATGAGTGCATTACCGTAGTTTTGTTCATTTCTCTGAAGTTCAGTTACTTTACCAGAAAAAAAGGGACTAATATGCTTTTACTTCAGGGTAGTAATTATAGGCAGGAAGTACATGAGGGAAACATGGGTTGTTCCAACAGCCCTCTCCTCCAAAAATAAACTTGTCCTTGCTACATTTAGCAATGAAATAAAAGAAAATAAGAAATAGTAAAAAAATGGAGCAGAGGTATATTTCATATGGCAGCTATATCATCTATTCTGGAGATGCATATTTAAATTGTCTACCATTCTTGTTCTGGCTATATGCTCTCTGTGTTCATCCAATAATTTTGAGTTTTCATTTACTTTGCCTATAAACAAAGAATGTTCAAGTCAAATATTCATAAATGTATGGAAATTCTAGTTCTGAGTGTTAATATTTATTCTCATATTGATTAGAAGGAGTGGGAAATAATCATGGGCTTTCACTTAGTTTCTGCCAGGAAGATAATACAACATTGCAACATTTAATTATTTCAATCAACTCAAGACCTCAACAACAGCAAATAGTTCCTCTGGATAAATTTTTAAAAGAGCAATTGCTCAGTAAAATTGTATGCATATTTTATATATTTTCAGATTTATTCTTATGCAAGAACTGGGGTACAGGCCAGATACGCAGGAGGTGAGAGGATTAACCAGAGACAGAGTCAGGAGCAGAACAGGCAGACTGACGAAATACACTGCTGTGGGGAGCAGCGGGCACAACAGGAGAGGTCTGTGGCACCATGTGGGATTCTTGCAGGCTGTCTGGGATCGAACCCGCACTGCTGAGGCTGCGGACAGCTTCACTGCATGGCGCTCAACCTTCTGCTCCACCGGGGAGGCCCTGCAAATTTTATTAAACTGTTGGTGTTTATTAGCAAATTGTCCTTCAAAAAAGTTGTACCTATCAAGTAACCTAGGTCCCAGTGGAGTATAAAGTGCCTTTTTCCTCTAAAATAACAATACTATTGTTTATGTAGTGATCACTATAAATGGGATACTGTTAAGGGTTTGACATATCAATTCACTTGACTTTATATGTTAATTTGATTTGATTCACAGATGAAAAATTCTGTGGTGCAGAAAGGTCACGTTACTTGCCCAGTAATGCACAACTAAGAGGTAGAAGTAGTAGAACCAGGATTTGAACCTAGGAAGTCTAGATCTATTATTTCAGAAGTGGCTATTATATCAGTCTCTTTAATTTTGTAGACAAAAACATTTCAGCTATTTTAATTTCTATTTTCTATTTAAAGAAAATATTGCAATCCCTTCATTCCTTTCTTCCGTCCTTGCTTTTCTTTCTGACTTTTTCTCCTTTTGTAATATTAACTTTTTTTAAGATTTATTTATTTATATAAGAACGGGGGTACAGGCCAGAGGTGCGTTAATATCCTTTGCCTATTTATTCCCTTGGAGTGTTCATCTTATTAAAAAAAATGATTTCTAACTAGTGTGTTATGTGAAGGATACTAAGATATTGTATGTTTTAAATGTTGAGATTTTTTGTAGTTCACTCTAAACTTTTCATTTTCATTTTATTTTTTTACACAAAGAAGTTAAAAATCCTTATTTGAGGATATCTATCTTTCCATCTGTTTTTGCTTTGATGTTTTAGAAAGGTTATTGCCATGCCTAGCTTTGTTACAGACATACAGATACACCTCTGTGAAGGAAAGGAGTCATTTCCCCTTCACAGTTTCTTCTTGTTTCCTTGCACCCTGCAAACACTTGTTAGCAGGATGAATGGTATTTGACCACATGTGCATGTTCTCTCTCTCTCTCTCTCTCTCCCTGTCCCCTTGAGATGCCTTTTTATTTTTTTTTTGACAGTAATATGTCTTTATTATGGATTAAGCAACTTTAAGAAATAGCTATTTGTAATCTTTAAAACAATGCACTGAAAATAAGTCTTAATTTCAGAGTTTTATTATATTGCACTAAAGGAACAGCAGGATGGTTATACAATGTTCTCTCTCACTCACTTTTGAAAATCTAAAGTACTTGCAAATTCTTAAGAATACCTTTACCACCAGATCAGAACAATAAGTATAATAACCAATATCTTAATAAGTAATGTCTTACAAATTAAAACACATTTAAAATAGCTTTAATTGCATTCTTCACAATTCAGCATATATTTTTATACCATGTTCACTTATGCTTAAGAATTAAAGCAAGTATGTTACTCTGATTGAAATATGGGAAATCTCTCATTCATGCAATATACAGGGATAATATTCAAGTCAAAGGGGAAAAAATCCCACTTTTCTTATTTTTGTAAATGTATCCATATATAATCATCTACATGATAGAAGAGGAAAGCCATGAAGTTTCCCACAGGTCAGATATATATTTTCAGTTCATCAGAAGCACCTGATATCTACAGCTAATTTATAATTAGATGGCATTTCAAAAAACCAAAATAAGCCCTACTAGTTCCTATAAAGAAAAGCTTCCAATGGACTAAGGACAGTCAATAATTAATGCAATCATTCAAGGGATTATGGCTGTTCCTTAAGGAGTGCAAGTTCAAACCTGTCAACATCAGAGGTAATCATTTTATATTAATTTATATGTAATTCCATTTAAATACTTTATCTGAGTATAACATATGAAAACAGTCTTTCCACAAGCAAAAATGTGGAAACATTTAAAAAATAAGGAGTCATTTTTTAAAGTAACTGATCAGATTCCATAGGCTATTCTTGGAAACAGGATCTTGCTGGATAGAATCCCTTCATTTGGTGGCGTTTTGCATGCAGTTAACTGGACCAATTCTTCAGTGTGTTGTTCTAAGAGCTCACCAAAACATAGATCATGCCATATAGGTAGTAAAAAAATGCTAGAAGATAAAAAGCTAATTTGCACCATCCTTCCTTCTGACAATATGCTAGAATATCTGCGTTCATGATGGTCGTAGGGTCATAGAGTCCTGGTCCACTCATCACGGGTCTACTCATATACCTCCAAATATGATATGCCAAGAGGGGCATATTGAGACCCAGTGTGAGCCACTCTGCTGCACAAAGAAATATGACACAGAAGAAAGCATGGATGAGGTACTCTGGAAGTACAAGAGGATTCAGGGTATTACACTGGTCTATAGGATTCTTGTAATCAGTCTTCAGCTCATCAAATGCTATAATGTGCCAGATGGTGAAGAAGATGAGCGCGGCGGTGAGCAGCAGCGCCAGCATGTAGCAGAAGGCCGCGAACGTGAACGCCATGGCCGGGGAGGAGCGGGGAGCGGCGCCCGGGCCGGCGGAGAAAGGCGGCGCACGGCCCTCTGGGTAAAACCATTCGCTTCCCCCGGCCGCAGCCACGACCGCCGCCGCTGCCGCTGCCGCCGCCGCGGCCGAGATGCCTTTTTAAATAAATATGTTTTTCTCTTCATTTCACCTTTTGTGTCTGCTTTTTGTACCCAGTCACCCTGTTTCTCCTGGGGCTGTCCTGGAACAGCCTGGTGACCATCATGGGGTTCTTACACTCATGGTTGACTAGTTAAATGGATCCTTCCTTACTTTGGTCATCATAAGCACATTATGAATGCAGAACACTAGGTGATATCTTTCTGTCACTATTTTAGAGCTTAGTTTTACTTCAGTACAGCTATCTGTGCATTTCAATTTAAACATGGGTTTAATAGCCAGTTTAGGCAGTTCTTTTCTTCCATATTTTTCTTTATATTTCCTTGGTGTAACTAATCTGATGAAGCCTGGTATACAGGAGATGGTTCCAACCTATAGTTAGAATTCAGTTCCAACATGTAATTTGTATTTCTGGGGCCTGCTTGGCTATGTGTAAGCATTTCATACGACATTGTTTTTGACTCAAGAGGAAGCAAACCTTCTAAACTTCAGCCTCTAAGACTCTGCAAGTACACATAGAAGCTGCCCTCTATAGATTAAATCTAGTTAATTTGGCCATGGAGAGACTGAAAGAATGAAGTCTGGTTCCCCTCTGTAAGTTATATATATATATTTTTTTTTTTTTAGAAACAATGGTATACTTTTTTTTTTTTTTTTTTTTTTTAAGATTTATTTATTTATTTATACATGCACGGGGTACAGTCAGAAGCGCGGGAGGGTGAGAGAATTCACCAGAGCCAGAGCAGGGAGCAGAGCAGGCAGAGGGACCGAAGTACACTGCTGAGGGGAGCAGCGGGTGGCAGGAGAGGTCTGCGCACCATGTGGGACCCTCCTCGGTGGCCGGGGAGCAGCCGGGGATCGAACCGGCGCCGCAGAGGCCGCGGGCAGCTTCGCAACCCAGAGCTCAACCGCTGCGCCATCCGGGAGGCCCCTGTAAGTTATATTTTTAAAAGGCAGAGGCTAGTGACAATATTTAGGCTGCCCTCCATAAATTAGATTTGGCAACTTCACTTTGAACTCACCAATAGAAAACCCCTTTCAAGAGGAAATTACCCCTCCTGTGGAGGCTATAGTAGCTCCACAGGCTTCATTTCCTCACCCAGGATAGGTCTAAAATGACTTCTACTTCTCATACAAGATGGGGCACCCAATTTGGCCAATGAAGCTACCATGGGGTAGGACAGTTCCTTTATGTCAATTTCCATTAGGTGGATTTAACCAAGGAAAACCTGTCAGATGCTATTGGTCATACCCTCCCTCTTACTCTAGGGATCTCCTGAATTAGAAAAATCCTGCCCCTCCATTTAAACAAGAGGATCCCAAAAGGATGGTTAAAATGCTTGCCTCTCTTTTTCCCTCCTATTGACATATGTTCAATCAATTTACAAATATCATTAACATTGGATGAATGAGGAATAGCTTAAGGAAGACTAGCAAGTAGACCTATCATATCCACAAGGAGGATCTAGAAACCCCAAAACCAGAGTGGCTGTCCTGTGGCCTCTCTACCACTAAGGGCCTCTGCACCTGTGTGTGTATGGCCTCTCTATGCACCTGTGTGTGTGTAAAAGAATTGGATAAGGCACTCCTGCATGACTGCCTTAAGACAATGGCCCACGTCACGAGGCAGCCAGGGATGCCTAGGTAGTCGTTTGTGTGGCTATGGTCTGAGGTGGTCTGAGGTGGTCTGGGAGTTGCTTGGAAATTACATCAAGTACCTGTATGGGAAGTCCTTCCTGTATACATGGCCGACATACCCCCTCCTGTTCCCCATAAAATTGATTACCCTTTGTTGCCCCTGGACTCTGCTCCTCCCGCCATTGTCACATAATAAATCATGGCTGTTCATTACTGCTAATAAATAGGAAGAGGGTTGCTCACTGAGCAGCAGAGTCTTGCCTTGCAAACTTGCTCGACAACTTGTCCCTCAGCATGTCCCGGGGAACATGCTGGCACATTCCCGACCACCAGAGTTGGTGTTCGAACAGGGACAGAAACAGGCAACAGGACTTAAAACAGGTGCCAGGGACACATTCGTGTTCCTCAAGCCTGGTGAAGGGAATAGGACCTCCAAATCAGATACACAATAGCCCCACAGAGTCTGCAACGGAAAGGTAAGTAAAGTGCTTCTCTTTCATGAGTGTTTCTCTCTCTCTCTCTCTCTCTCTCTCTCTCTCTCTTCCCTCTTAAATTCCTTTCTCTCAGGTTCGTTCACTTTGGGCAAAATCAATGGTGGCCATGAGACGACCACTTAGAAAGCCAAAAGGACTCCCCACCTTCTAGAAGACTCCTGTAACAGGATAAACTGGGCCAGATTAAAGGGACAGCCGATCCTCCAGTCACAAGATAAAGTCAGGTCACTGTATGAAGACTTCAGTCTCCGAAGACAACAGGCACATACAGCACCTAGAAGCCCATCCTGGGGTTACCCATAAAGGATTGGTCTCCTAGCAACCGGGGCTGTTTTCCCTTGCACTAGGTAGGAGAATTCAATTCTGAGCCACAAGCCTGAGCATACCGGCCCATGTGACAGCTGGGGAAGACACTCTCTTACCTAAGCACTACCCTAAGACCCAACACAATCAGCAGCCATACCCTGCAGCTTGCCCATATTAGGATTTTTATTTACAGCCTGATCTTTCACTCTCCATTCCTTTTTACATGATGTTTAGCTAAAAATGGGTACTACTCTTTCCTCTGCTCAACTTCAACCTTGTGAATAACTTAAGGCTTTCCTTTTATCTGTAGGATGTAAAATTTCTAATAAGGAGCTCACTCAATTCCTGCAAATGGTTAAATCTCACTGGAACTTGTACTGCTTAGCCATTGGGGCTTTGGAAAAAAACCTGCCAAACAGGCTTGGGTTGGTGATCCAGAGCCCCTCCCTCTTACACCACCTTTAAGCACCGCCTCCCCCCCCCCCCAACAAACGCACTACAACTGGCTGGTGAGGGTGCTGCCAATGGTCTCAGAATGCAGCTGCCTGGACCTTTGCTCCAGTGCTGGGATCACTGGCATTTCTCTGCTGCCTTCCTGCTGTAGGAAAACTGGATTCTCCTTTTATCCACCTTAACAAAGTGTTCAGGTCCATTCCATAAGCAAAAAAAAAATTATATTTCCCTGTTTTTTCCTAATCTTTAAATATAGACTGTTTAAGGTAAAAACTGCTTGACTTTAAAATTGTTGTAATCTTGAGCCCTTTGGTAATGGTTAATATTTAACACTCATTCTATATAAAAATTTTAGCTTCTATCTTATTACAAACCTCTTTGACATAAACTAATATTAAAAATTTGGTTAAATACATGTGTCAGACTTAAACTAAAACCTAGTTCAAGCCAAAAAGGTCACTCTTGTTTTACCTAAAACAGTTACTAAATAACTAAAATTTAATCAGTTTCTCTTTATCTTCACAAAAAAATAACTACTTCTTAAAATTAATACACATGGCCAAAGTTTTTGATAAAAATCAAGAGCTCTCTGTGTCTGTCATTGTCTTTTACCTCTAGAGGGTTAATTATAAACAATGCCTATATAAATTCTAATCAAAAACCCCAAATTTTGAAATCATGATCTACAATTTTGGTAAACAAAAACTAGTTCAAAATTTAATGGTTTAATCTAAAACATACATGCCTTAAGGTTATAACGTTGAATACTAATACTTTTTTATTTAAATGAATTTACTAAAAAATAGTTCATGGTATTCAATTTTATGTCATCTCACCTAAAATACAATTAAAAATCATGTGTTTATGAATAAGTCATTTAGTCTAAAATAATGGTAGTAAATCAGCTATTACAATGTCTTACAAGCTAAATATTAATAAAAGATGTAACTACTCTGAATACAAATATTTATGTGTTTAAAAATTTTTATGTACTTTAACAACTTGCTACAAAAAATAAGTTAATATCAATAGTATACTAATAAAATGTTCCAAAATACATAAGACTTCTTAAAAACCTAATATATTGTGGTAGACGGTTCTAACACTGTCCATAGTAAAATTACCAACTCCAAGCCCCTGGTCCTAAAAACAGACCATATGATTATTTGCCTCCTTCAGGACATTCATAAAGTAATGGTCAACCCTGTTAATCATAAAAAACTAAGTAAAATTACTCAAAAGCAAAAAAAAAAAAAATCCTTTGTAATTTCAGACTGGATTTGCTGAAGCTATAAAAAATTTTACTAATCTGGAACCCCAAAACTGTAAAAGGACAAGTCATTCATTCTTTTCTACTATGTTAAAATTTTAAATACGTTATAGACATCCCTTATAGCCCTACAAGACAAACTATAATTAAAGGAGTCAATGGGCTCCTTAAAATACATCTTTTAAAACAAAAAAGAGAGCCTCCTCCGTGGCGCAGCGGTTGAGCGCTGGGTTGCAAAGCGGCCCACAGCCTCTGCAGCGCCAGTTCAATCCCTGGCTGCTCCCCGGCCACCAGAGGAGGATCCCACATGGCGTGCAGACCTCTCCTGCCGCCTGCTGCTCCCCTCAGCAGTGTGCTTCAGTCCTTCTGCCTGCTCTGCTCCCCGCTCTGCCCCTGGTGAATTCTCTGACCCTCCCACACTTCTGACTGTACCCAATGCTTGTATAAATAAATAAATAAATAAATAAATAAATAAATAAATAAATCTTTTTAAAAAGGGGGGGGGTATCTAGAGTGTAACCTGCCCCCATAAAAACAAATATACAAAGCTCTATTTCTTTTTTTTAAAGATTTATTTATTTATGCATACAAGAGCTGGGGTATAGGCCAGAGATGTGGGGGATGAGAGGCTCCACCAGAGACAGAGTGGGGAACAGAACAGGCAGACTGACTGAAATACACTGCTGAGGGGAGCAGCGGGCGACACAGGAGAAGTCTGCCTCACCATGTGGATTTCTCCCTGGCCAGGGATCAAACTTGTGC